ACAAAATAGTGCAGTCATTATAAAATTTGGTTCCTTGGTTCCTTTTTATTTATTTTTATTTTTTAAATCTATTGAACATTGGTGTTTTTAATCACATGGACATTTTTATAAAATCGGTGTTTTTAATCACATGGACATTTGTGCCATTTTATAAAATCAATAGGCCACAAGAGACTGAGAGAATTTTTATAATTTACTAAAAATTTACAATAATTTACTTTTAAAAGGCTTTGCTTCACATCTCACCTCACAACAGCACTGAAACTCACAACCAGGATAAAATCATTGTGACTCACATCTTTGTCAGACTTCAAAATAAATCCACTGATTCAGAAACAATGAATATTTCCAGCTCCCAGAGGTGTAAAGTATTGGAGTAAATGTAATTAGTTACTGTACTTGAGTATCATTTCGGGTACTTTGTAGTTATACTGAGTATCAAAGATATTAGCAACTTTTACTCTCTACTTCACTACATTTTTGAATGAGTATCTGCACTCTTTACGCCACTACATTTGAAATGAGTGTTGCAGTTACACACTACATTTTGCATGGACCTAGCTTTTTCTGCAGCAGTTTATTTCTGCTACAAAAGACTTGATACTGTCACTGAAAGTACCTGTAAAGTACTGCATCTTGTGCGTTTTGCCCTTACTCACCCAAACTTTTCAACAAGGCTACTTTATGTGAATGCAAGTTCCTTAGCAAGTATTTGTGAATCACAGGTGTTTTATGAGATGAGGACATGACTGCAGCCGGCAATGTGGCCCAAACCAGCACATCCATTGCAAGAAGGCTTCGGCTTTTTAATTTGACTCATCCATTATACTGAAAATACCTTTTTGAAAGATATTGTTTTTTGTTTTGTAATTTTGAGGTGTTCAGTTTTATTTTGGTTTTAGAAAATAAATGTGATTGCTCTCCTCACAAATCAATGTTTGTAGTCAGTTTGTAGTCCGTTTGTTCATTGGTTCCCCTTGATTAGTCTCCCCAGGTGTGTCTTATCTTGTTAAGCTTGTTAGCCCCTGTGTGTTTATATAGCCCTAGTGTTTCTTTAGTTCCTTGTGAGTTGTTGAATGTAATGGTTGTCTGTTTGCCAGTCATTCTGTTCTTTGTTCCCTTCGGTTTTTTACTTATTGTTTGTTCTAGTTTTTACGTGAAATACCAGCACATAGATCCTTGCCTCTGTCTGTTTTCCGCAGCTTCTCCACAACATTACAGTTTTTGACTGGCATGTCTCTTTGACTAGTGCATCTTTGAGCCTATATTTAGTATAAGTAAAATACTTAAGTACTGTTAAAATCAGATACTCTAAGACTTTGACTCAAGTTGTTTTGGAATTGGTGACTTGTAACTTGTAATGGAGTAATTTTCAGGTATCTGTACTTTTACTCAAGTATGGTTTTTAGGTACTCTTTACACCTCTGCCAGCTCCTAAAGTATAAGACAGTGTGGTTTCTCCTTCATATACATTTGAATGATAAATTAAGATTTTTTTTTCACTATTCTTTTAGGTTTTTCTCTTCTCTATAAGCCCTTTGAACAACATCACTACATGCACAAATACACACACACACACACACAAACACAAATACAATCGCTATGAGTCCATTCAGTGCCACAAATCCTGAGAGGTAAATCTGCCAGGACTGGCAGGGAAATGAGAGGGAGTGAGATCAGAAGAAAAAAGAATTAAATAAAAATGCAATAAAGCTGCCTGTGTGAAATCAATCTGCTTAGAGTTTTGCTTAATAAAAATTCATGAAGAGCTGCTAGCCCAGAGTTCATAAGAAATATTGTTGTTGATATAGAGGCAGAGCCGGACAGTGTCTTATCTGTGTGTGTGTGTGTGTGTGTGTGTGTGTGTGTGTGTGTGTGTGTGTGTGTGCACTCACATGTGAGCGACAACTGTAGGAAATATGCCTACTTTGTGTGTCTGTCCCAACTCTACAATAACATTCAGAGAGGATAATTTCCTAAAAATATGTTTCTCTGAGTTCAGCAAAAACACAAATACAAAATAAACTTGTACAAGATGATGCATTGGTGTTCAGAAGCCTACTGAGTAAATGATCTTGAATGATTTCTAATGAATAATGTGAATAAAATTTCAGTTTGTTTCAGAATGAGATTCACTTTTCTGTTAGTGTCTGGTGAGTTTTTTTTTTTTTTGAGTGCACAGTAAAAAAGAAAGCCGTATCTCACAACATCTCCAGCAAAATCTCCACAAAGACAGGGCCACCAAATAACGAGGACATCTGGTCACCTGATTCCCATCTCTCTTCAAGGTCTCGTATTAGAGGAATTACGGAAATTGCTTGCACCATCTAAATCTTTATCTCTGACAGAACTCATTTTATGGGCTCAACATCTTAAAAAAGACATTAACATTAGTCACACATCAACACAAAACCCCCAACACACACCACATCCTTATCACACAGGCCTGAGGAAAGTCAATGCACACTCTGACCAATTAACAACACACCCTGAGGAGTTTCTGGACAGATTACCGCAAACAAGCTACTTGCACTTTTTGCTGCTGCAGTCTAATCATGTTGAGTGAAGTCAAATCCATTGTCATTGTCATTACAGGCTAAGAGTAAGAAAAATACATGAATAAATACTCACTGACTCATGGTGGAATGTGATAAAGATAGCTAAAAGCATTTGATACCACAGAGAATAAATAACAAATGCAAACTAGATGCATATTAGCATGTTTGCCAGGTGCATGTTCAAAATAACAATTTCAATACAAAATAAGCAAGAAACATACTTTACAATCTTCCAAAAAACTACAATATTACAGTATATATATAAAAAATGAAACATTAAAAAATATATATAAATCAAGTTTTGATCTCTAGTAGGCTATTCCATCCACACTTGCATTTAGCTTAAATGTAGGCTATACTGTTATTGTTGTCCCTAAAATACATTTTAAAATATGTTTGCCATATGAAGGTATAATGTAAATATATTTTCAGTTCAGTTTCACGTTTTAAACTCAACAAAATAGTAAAATACATATATCAAGAGCATGCTCACAGTTGAGAACAAAATAGCATTTGGATGAAGTGGATTAAAGCCCTGCACGGACCTCAAATATAGGCCCTAGACCGTCTTTTTTTTCCCCCTTTTCCCAACAAAAGCTTATACTACTGTTACAGCAAAAATAGTTCAGTTTTGTATGTAATTGAAAAGTGATTATATTTAGTTTCGTTTTTTTATAAAGTTAATTTAGAAAAACGTTTGGAGCATTTATTGTTTGTTAAATGTACGTTTTTTTTCTTTTTTTAACTAACGGCCAGTGGTGGACAGTGAATTGATCATAGCCTATATGTTTGATCAATTTAGCCTTCCTAAAAATCATCACGACTCGCCTAAAATAAAACCTATACATACAACAGTTCAAGCATATCACAATGTTAGTTTAAAGGTTTAAACTAGATAAATGTGCGCTGTTAGACGCATATCCAATCGTTTGTCCGGAGAGTGGAAGCTGAAGCGTGCTTTGCAGGACATGGAGGCGCCAGCGCGATCACTTGCGTTTCTTTCTAACAGTGGAAACAACTTAAAATGCACCGCAATTTTTGCTCATTAAGGTAAGAGTAATGCATCATTCTAAACTGTAAAGGGGCTAGTTTTATTTGTGTGCCCTCACAATATCAACAAAACGTTGTGCTTTTATAAAATACAGAAAACAAACGCTTTCTGCCGTCTCGGTCTTGAACAGGAGCGCTTCACAATGATTAACCTAAACTCAGCGAATTGCCTCACAGACATGATAAAAATATATAGAAACCTTTAAATTACTACTTTAAAAGGAAATAATTCAAATAGAAAATAGAAAAGCTTTCATTATGTAATCCGTGCATTTCTTTCTAAAGGCACATCCAAAGAGGAAATGGCGAGTCATTTTTTTCATCACCATAATTGATGGATGTCTAAAATATAAAAATAAGGAAAAGACTAAAACAGACCCAATTATAATTTGCGTTTTATTTTATAATTCCGTGCAATTAAAAAATAAAACACAAATTATAATGGCATATATGTAAAACTTTGTCCTATAATTGTATAGCTGCTTATATTTTCTGATTTCTGAATGCCTTAAAATTTAAAGGATTTGCTGCAACGCAATTTTGTCTGATATGTGAATTATTTATTAGCCAATTTTTTTTATCCATGCAGCAAATGCTTTAAAAAACAGTTTATTGAATTACTTTATTGCATTCCAGACACTTTTAAAGTACTTTTCACTATAAATTTTACGGGTAGCTTGAATGTAAAACATTGCCATGAATTCGTCGTATTCCCATTTGTAAAATAGCCAACAAATTAATTGTTGTAGGCAAACACGATCTCATGAAATGCGTATAGCATGCTTTTCTGCTTCTATTTGGCATAATATTTCTATGCAGAAATTGACTTTGGCATGCAAAAGACTGATACATTTATAACTAATGGCATGGCTGGTTCAGTCGACAGAAATACGGGACACACAGGCCTATGATAACTGCTGAAATGTTTGTGGGGCAAATCTGAGGTCAGTCTGAGCGCTCATGGTACTCACAATGTGTACAGCCGTACACCTGCAGGTGTCACTGACCCCTGGTGTAATCTATTAGATAGGCCCATGTACATCCATGTACATCCAAACACGTACAGGTGCATCTCAATAAATTAGAATGTCATGGAAAAGTTCATTTATTTCAGTAATTCAACTCAAATTGTGAAACTCGTGTATTAAATAAATTCAATGCACACAGACTGAAGTAGTTTAAGTCTTTGGTTATTTTAATTGTGATGATTTTGGCTCACATTTAACAAAAACCCACCAATTCACTATCTCAACAAATTAGAATACTTCATAACACCAATAAAAAAAAACATTTTTAGTGAATTGTTGGCCTTCTGGAAAGTACTTTGCAGGTGTTTTGAGTTGATTAGCTGATTGGCATGTCACCATATTCTAATTTGTTGAGATAGTGAATTGGTGGGTTTTTGTTCAATGTGAGCCAAAATCATCACAATTAAAAGAACCAAAGACGTAAACTACTTCAGTCTGTGTGCATTGAATTTATTTAATACACAAGTTTCACAATTTGAGTTGAATTATTGAAATAAATGAACTTTTCCACGACATTCTAATTTATTGAGATGCACCTGTACATACATTGAACCAAAACCGTGTTTTGTTTTTTTAGCCAGGTAGCCTAGATATTTAGCCTTTATCATTTATAACGCTACGAACAGTGATTAATTTGTAAATTGCAAGGTCCCGGAATAAAGCGGGGTGATGGATCCGGCAAGTTATCAGAGGATGAAGAGGTAATGGAGCATTTGCGCAATCATTTATTGGACCCACTTAAGTGATTACCAGCTTGCATCAGTTGCTTTTATAATATGCACATATAGCCTACTCAAAAAATCACGCTTATTTTATTGCAACATTTTTTTGTGTTTGGGTAGTTTTTGTGTAACCCATCTCCTGGAACAGGAGAGTCGCAACAACCCAGTGTTTGTAATGAGCACAGATATTTTGCATTCTCTTCAGGTGAGAGTAGTTCTCAGTGCAGTCGACTTGCATTTCTTTGGTCAAATATAGATTTGTGTATGTTTTATTTAATCTATAAAACAGTTTCTTTACTGTAAATCATTTTATTTTATGCAAAGCAAACCAAGTCACCTAAACAAGACGCATCAGTCTTTTTGCACAATTAAATGTTTCACTTTTACTTCTAAAATGCTTGTTAAACGAGTAAATGTAAGAAATGTTGTATAAATGTTTAAACGGTAAAATATGTTGTATTAAGAACTGTATTTAACTAAAATGCATTTAGAGAAAGAAAAGAAAGAAAGATCAAAAAATGTCAAAATAAATGGAAAAACTAAAACGAAACGAAACCAACAGCCGTTATTGAACACCTAGCTAAAAATAATAATCAAAAATAAATAGGCCTAATCGTTTTCTAATCAATCTCAGCATGCTTTAATTTTGTGTGGCTAGAGGTTTGCGTCAACAGCTAAGCTTAAATTAAAATGTCTTTGGTCTGCGCTCTGGGAGTGTTCTGTTAATTCTGCTAAACTTTAATTACTAAAACTAAAATTAAAACTGAAACTAAACCGTATGAAAACTAAATAGGCTATAAATCTGTTCACAAAATAAAAACGAAACTAAAATTACGCAAATTATTAATGAAACTAATAAAAGAAAATTGAAAGTGATATTTAAATAAAAACTCATTTAAAAATGCAAAACTATAATAACCCTGACACGAACATCTTTCATTGGTGCGTGAGAAGGGGGATCCGCCAAATGAGGATATTGGAATTCGGAGGTGCTGGACCGGACCCAGCTTGTTCAAATTACACCTTGACTACGAATAGGGATTTTGGCTGTACGAGCACGGCTTGAACAGGTTTCTATGTCTCTTAGTGAAAATGAACTACAGAGACTTCTGCTTTCCGTGTCCTGAACAACGTTTGTCGAGCTGCTTACCGGGAATTCTCCCAAATCTTCCTATGGCCACTTCAGGCCTGTACATAGGCTACACTTAATTTGCTTTTGCAGCTATACTAGTGGTTATTTTTTATTAATTAATTTTTTTTACGTTGCAGTAGAAAAAAATATATAATAATCAGAAAACATGCCAGTGTCTGCTTTATGTTAATACAGTTGTACCAATAAACAAAATCTCCAGTCTTTCACATGCATCTTAAAGATCATGTTTAATTGTGAATGTGAAGTGGGGGCAGCACGGTAGGGTTTTGCCTAGAGCGGCAGTTGAGCTCGCGCCGGCCCTGCGTATGGGTAATTTCAATAGGAATCCATTCAATCAGGAACAATATGTGAGAGCAAAATATGCAAATGTTCCAAGCAGTAAAGGTGGTCATGTGAATTTGCAGATTCTACTTGGTTTGAATGTGAAACCAAGTAGACCTTTTCTCCCAACAAATGTGACCACTGATGCGACTGCTAATCTGGCTACTGTGGCTGAATTACAGATATTCAGTATAACAGCACTCTTGTTCTTGTGATACTATTCAAACATAAAAACAAAGTCACTTCAGTAAGTCAACTAGAAGCAAAACCTTTACATCTTCAACATCCAAAAAAAAAAAAAAAAGCAAATTCTGCAAATTAGCTGCTTTGAGGAGTTGCATAAAGCCATACGAACCAAATCACTTCTGATCCGGCGCTACAGAGGAATTTGAATTGCTGTCAAGGGAACAGTCGTGGCACAGCACAGCGTCTCCGAATGGGCTGCCCTCGCTGGCTTTGTGTAAATATAACACAACACTGTTCTCAGGAACTGCCAGGCCCAAACACAAGCTGGCGTATCGAACAAAAGAGGAATGTCTCTGGTTCCACTCCATTTGTCAGACAGACAATAACCCCAACTGGTGTTTAACAACTCGCACAGCAGGGACGATCGCAGAGGTTTTAATTGCTCGCTGAGGACGTCTGTCTGCTGCAATGCTAGCGCTGTCAGAGAAGATCATTACACATAACGCCTCACGTTAACTTTATGTACAACATGACTGACGTTTTTGTTGCGCTTGATCTTTTTATCATGACATACATTTGAGTTATGCAACATGATCAAATATTTAATGGTTCATGCAATCAAAAACAGGATTTTATTTGCTCATTTGAAATAAATAGAATTGATATTGAGTGCTGAAGTCAATGGGTTTTTGGTTAAATGCCTGAAATAAAGTCTGTGGTGATCACAAGCTCAAGATATTTTCACCTTTTATTCTATGGCACAAAGTAAATCAAACCTACTTATGATTTTCAAAGGTTTTTGCATGTCTTGAAAACGGCAGTTGCTAACAAGTGTCTAAAACAACTCAAACCTTTTTTTAATTTTTTTTATAAAGACTGAAAGAGTTGTCAGAAGCTTAATAGGGATGTCGTCGAAGTCACGTGACCACGGTGTAGACCATTTACGTTTAGCTTTTTACTTATGATGATTGTATTTAGCCTACAAAATTGATAAAAGTTCTGTTCGTTTGTGAATAGCATCATGATGAACTTTGCAGTCACAAAGCTCATTTACTGCAGTAATCTAAAAGCCAATGGAAAAAATCTGGGTTTTACGTGTTTTCAAACAGCCGTTCAACATATTTAACCAATCCCGTCCAGATTTTTGTATGGTATTTATCAAACAACACCAAAGAGCTGCTCAATATCCATCTCCACTGTCACGGATTCTTCCTCTGCTATTCATTTTCTCATGGTAAAAATAGTCTGTTTGTGAGCAGCTCCAGTTTTATGAATATTCAATGACCAAAAAACGCAAATCTTATTGGTTGCTGGTTGTCTTCACAGTGGGATAGAAAAATCTGTCGCACTGATGGCATGCAAGTGTTTGAGTTGTTCTGAATACATATTGACACATTTGACAGTTTCATCCTGACAATTCTGTCGTATAACATATACAGTACAAG